AGCAGGCAGGTACCGCACGCCTTCAAAGATTTATTTCCTTTGTTGATTTTCCTGCTTCGCTCACACTATATGCAATTGAAAATTACTCTTTAAGTTGCCAATTTTACTGTGTTTTCTAGAGAATTACTAACTAGTTGTGTTTTCAATTGTGTGTAGCATTGCGATTTCTATTTGAGTCTAGATGTTAAATTGCTAATAAATGGCCACAATTCTCAAATACCTTTGAACTCTCGCTGCAACAAATGGTGTATGTTAATACACTCACATTCATTATATCCAATATCAGGTACGATGTCAATGCACAAATCGCACCTGAAATTGCACACCCTGGAAGTGACTTGTCATGTGATTGGCATGGCCAGCAGCTTTGCTCTTTGCATGGCAAATTGCACCCAATGTTACTGGGGGCCAACACCACTGTCACATCTAATCCGATGCGGCAATTGTCCAACTTACAGTGAAGTTGCACGAGTTCACAATCCAATTGGATGTGAACAGAGCCTACAGTGGCCAATAGGGTGCGACTTGGTCTACGATTTGCAAGTCGCCTGTCATGCCAATTGCATGGCAATCGCAAACAATGTTACTGGGGGCTACCCGGTCACATTAAAGCAGATTTTCTAAGTGGTGTTATTGACACCACAGTCACATCATGTGACTTGCATAGAAGTTGCATGATTTCAAAGTCGGGGTACATGGTGATTTCAAGTGCAATTTGCAAGACATTCGACATCGATCTCTCAGCAAATTGCATGAAAAGTAGTGTATTCATTACTCTATTATTACTTGCGGCTCCTACCAAGTTTGAACCACAACAATATGAACGCTCCAATAGCGTGCACATTGAGTGGGACTTGGCATGTGATTTGCACAACATGCAAGTTGTAAATCGTCTGCAAAGTCGCACCCTATTGTCTGCTATTAGAGTGACCACATGGGTGCGTTTCAAACACTGATTTCTATAGTAGTACATGTACTACTTTAGTGGCAATTTGCATAGAGATCTGTGTCAGATGTCTTGAAAATTGCATTGAAATGGTCAACTTTACTGTAAGTTGCATGATTTGTAAATCAGCTTTGCCCAGAGTGTAATGTTTGGTGATGTTTGATTTCTGGAGTTTTTACCAATTGATGGGAAATTCACCATACTAGTCAAATCGATTTGTCATTTTTCAGTATTGCATACAAGATGTGGTCATGTGACTGTCTTAACTCATGCGAGAATCTGGAGGGAATTGTGACCATAGTAGCAATAAAGGTTCCAATTGGGGTTCCCTTTCACATCCCTGCTCAATGTTCTGTTGTATGCTGCACACGTACATTTCACTGTATATATCTTTCTGATTTGTGGGGCCTGTATACCAAGGGTTAATGCAGGTAGGAAGAGGATTCATCAGGTGAAAACACTTTCACTGACCAAATTAAGGTCAGTGGTGGGTGTGGCTTCATTGGGTGTGGGGCCTTGTTTGGCGCTCCAAATACAACCTAGCTTATATAAAGATGTGCAGTAGGGAGTGATTTGGCCTGTTACTAGGCCGGGTGTTTGTGACTAAGTCCTTGCTTGTGTGGTTTGGGGGGAAGAAGAGATTTTGTGCTGAATTGCCCCAGACACCACTCAGGCTGTGTTTGGAAGTGGGCTGGAAATGTTTGCATATTTTTGGCCTTGTAAAGTGTGTTTGTGTGTTATTGCACAATGATTGTGTTTTTTTCTCTTTGCATTGAAAGCCTCACACATGTCAATCGTTTTGTTTAAAATCTGCTCGTTTTAATTTTGCTTGCTTATTTAGACTCCAATGCATTTTTTCTTACAAACCTGCTGACAAATGTATGTGTAGGGGATTTTGTAGAGGTGGGAGGGGTTTTTCACATATGTCTTGTTTTCTTGATATTTTGATCTGTAGACTTTTTTTTTTGTGAATGGATCTTTATACTAAATGATTGTGTAAGTAAACCTTATGTGCACGAAAATGTTACTTGATTCATCTTCCCCTTTGTTTCCTGCTATAACCTGAGCACACACAGTTCATTAGAAGTATCTTTAGATTGTAAGCTCTTATGAGCAGGAGTGTTTTATTTTTGCCACATCAATCCTATTTTTGTGACTCACCAAGATATTGACTGTACCTACTTGTTCCTGCTGACCAAATAAATGAAGATATATTTGATCAATAAATGTTTCACCGATGTTTTTTGTGTTTATTTTATGTTCAATATATGAACAACCTTAATAGTTACTTTGTATACTTATATAATCTGCTCAAATGTAGCTTGTAAGAGCATGAATATGCAAGTGTGTGCAAACTGGCTTTTTCAAAACCAAACAAAAAAATAAAAAACCTGCTTGCACCACAATATTGTTATGTACTAATGAATATGTCACATTCACTGTGCAGCCAGCTACAGGTTTTCTACAATTTGATTTACAGTAATAAAATAGTCCCCACTGTATGTTGATTTTTGGCCTTTGGCAAAAAATATATATTAGCCAAGGTTTAAAAAGAAAAAAAATCACTAAGAAACACACATTCACGAAAGCTATCATAGCCGTGCATAGAAATGAGCGATCGTGCATAGATATGCGCGATCGTGCACAAATAAACGCCAAACAGGTGTCCCCCATGGCGCACGAGCAGCTATCCTCCCGGAAGTCCGTCATCTGGTGCGCGCGCACCCGGAAGTGGTTGTGGGGAGTGTAAGTGGATGAGAAGTGGTTGGAGGTTTTGTGTTGGTTGAAAATTTTGATAACTTTATTGGCATTTGGACATGGCGAGAGCACAGTTCTCAACTGAGGAGATGATCCTTATATGTAAAGTAACTGTGGCCATTGCAAATATGTTTATAACATGTGAGGGACAAGTAATTGTAATTTTGTGGGTGGGGCCTAGCAGAATCTCACTTGGTGCACATGCTACTTATCTGTACATTAGCTCCTGGGTATTGATGGGTCAATTATATTAACCACTTGCCTACTGGGTACTCCTACCCCCTTCCTGTCCTGGCCAATTTTCATCTTTCTGCACTGTTACCCTTTGAATGACAATTGTGCGGTCATGCCACATTGTACCCATCTTAAATTTGTATCAGTTTTTTCAGACAAATAGAGCTTTCTTTGGGTGGTATTGACTTGCTGCTGTGAGTTTTACTTTTTGCTCGATAAACCACAAAATAGCTCATAATGAATAAAAGTCTGTTTATATTATAACATTTGGTAAACTGGTAATTTAGCAACACTGATGTGCGTTGATGAGGCAGCACTGGTGGGTGGCACTGCTGGCCACAGGTGGGGGGAACTGTTGGGTGGCACTGGTGGGCACTGATCATCGGGGCCGACCCCTGCTTTGATAACTGCTGGTTCTCGGCAGTACTTTCCACACATTCTGACAGCGTGATGAAAGTGCAGCCAAGACCCGGCAAATGCATTTCCCGGTGATCAGCGTGTCATTGGACATGGCTGATCACATGGTAAAAAGCCGCTGTGATTGGTCTTTACCACATCACGTGATCAGCTGTGTCCTTAGGACACAGCAATCACGGAGAGCGCGTTCTGCCAGGATGTCATATGACACCCTCCCAGAGCTGCCTGGATGCAGTGTAGCGTTATTCGGCTATCTGCGGTCGCCAAATAGGAAACCAGCTAGGCCTTCATGGCTAATCTTTGAATATCTGGACATGTATACTGCGTATAATGCATTACATTCTACAATGTGTTGGTGTACATGGTATTACAGTGTGCAATGCGTTGCTGGATTCTGCATGACAGTGACAGTGTATCACAGTGTGCAATGCGTAACTCCAGCCTGCATGACAGTGTACAGTGCATTACAGTCTACAATGTGTGGGTGTACACGGTATCACAGTGTGCAATGCGTTGCTCCATCCTGCATGACAGTGTACAGTGCATTACAGTCTACAATGTGTGGGTGTACACGGTATTACTTTGTACAGAGTATTACAGTGTGCAATGCGTTGTACACTGCAGTGTGCACTAAAGCATTTTACACTCATGCACTGTACACACTAACGCATCTGAGTTTCTCGAGTGTGCAATGCGTTAGTGTGCAATGCCTTGGACAGTACAATGCATTTGCAGTATTGGTGTATGTTTTATTAAGCACAGATAATTAATCTGATTTTAGTTATCAAGGAGAAGTCTTCTCTGTCCCCCTGTTTATGAGGTGGAGGACAATTGTTTTCCGAAGAAGAGAGGAGACATTTTTTTCAAGGAGATCTGTATAGATTTCCAGAGATATGTGTAGATGGGTTGAGGGGCTGCATGTGATCTCCGGAGATAATTGTGATTAATGATCACCTGAGTTAAACCAGTGAATGAAAAGTGTAAAAAAAACATGGATTGAAAATAATCTGCACTGACCACTGTGCTTTGTCAAGCCACATATTGGCACATTCTGGTGTCACACAGATGCGATGTGAAATTTGCAGTGTTTTCTGTGCAAGCGCTGCACTGCATCACAACCGCAACCCCTTCATGCCACCCTGCTGCGGCTTTCTAGGTGAAGTTACCAACACACCAATATTGGTACACAAAGCGTATTGCGATTTGCCAAATTGGATGGCATGCCTATTCACACCCATGTGCATACCCTGAAAAAGGGTCCTGCACATTTTTGGCCCGGATGCGGTGCAATTTGAGGTGTGCAAAATGTTTGTCTCTAATTGCAACGCACACAAATTGCATGTGATTTGCCCCAGGAGTGCGGTGTTAGACCACAATGCATGTATGTGAAGCCAGAATAAAAGGATGTGGATTTTGTCTACTTTTACTTGCGCATGTTAACATTATGTAAGTGCGTTATTCTTCTGTTTAACATGCTATAGAAATGCAACATGCATTTGGATGGAGTGTTTTTGTATGTGCATTTTGGAAGTATTCTAAACACACATTGACCCTAGGGCCACACCATATCTTATGCAGGCCATAGATGGGTCGAAAATCGGCCGATTTTTTCGGCCGAAAATAAAATCGGCCGATTTTCGGATCGTTAGTGGGCTATTTGTTCGGCCGTTGATTTTCGGTATTTTGGCAGATTTTTTTTTTCGGTAAAGTTGGAAAAAAAAACGGCCGAATTTGCCGATCGGGCCGATTTTCGCGGCAATGATGGGCAAATCGACCGATTTTTTTTACTGATAAAAAAATCTGCACATGAGCAGTGACCTGCAAGAGGAAGACAAAAAGAAGAAAAAGAAGAAGAGGATGGTATGATGATGAATGATGAAAGAAGAGGATGATGATGATGAAGAAGAAGAAGATGATGAAGAGGAAGAAGAGGATGTTGATGAAGAAGAAATAGAGGAGGATGATGATGAAGATGATGAAGATGAAGATGAAGAAGAGGATGATGATGAAGAAGAGGATGATGATTGAAGAAGAATGAAGAAGAAGAAGAAGAGGATGATGATGAAGAAGAGGATGATGATGATGAAGAAGAGGATGATGATGAAGAAGAGGATGATGATGATGAAGAAGATGATGATGAAGAAGAGGATGATGATGAAGAGGAAGAAGAGGATGATGATGAAAAAAGAAGAAGAGGATGATGATGAAGAAGAAGAGGAAGAAGAAGGATGAAAAATGAGAGGAATTCCAGTATGGCAAAAAGTGTCCCTGCAGAGAGCTCCGCTATTTCTTTGACAGTTCCTTGACATTTACAGCGGTTGCAACATTGTATCTATTTGTTTCCGAATAAAAACATCTGTATCCGAAATGGATACAAATACATTGTTGCAACCGCTATAAATGTCAAAGAACTGTCAAAGAAATAGCGGAGCTCTCTGCAGGGACACTTTTTGCTGGCTGTAGACGGGATGAAAATCGGCCGATTTTTTTTTTTACCATTGCTGGTAACGTCGGCCGCTTGAACAACCGATTTTTCATTTTTTAAAAGAAAAATCGGCTGTTTTTCTCCCCGTCTATGGCCTGCATAAGCATTAGTGTGCCTGGGGGAGGGGGGGGACCTTTGGCCTTTCCAAACACAGTAGATGCTCCAAGAATGTTTCCTTGAACTCTTGAAATGGTTAAAAAGGAAAGACACTCTAGATAGCCTGCACTGAGAATTGACTGTCATGATGACGTGTCAATGATTATTTGCTCTCATTTTTCAGGAGTGGTACTGCTTGCGGTTGAAGCTGGTAGAAATCCACCTTCACGTCCTCCACTCACCTTCACTTGTGGCCAGTGGATATTTTGTGGCCGCAGGCAAGAACTGGCATCGAGGACCTGCATAATGACCCTGGCATGCCAGAGGTGGTTTGGAAGCAGCACAGCAATTTGACCATCCCTTTCCTCTATGTTGGTTTTAGGGTGCAGAATTGCTTCTCGTTCGTGAACGGACTGTCGCCGGATATCAGAGTCCCCATATTTTCAAGATATGTTTTAGCCATGTTGGCTTATTTTTATGTTATTTTCCAAGTGTGTGTCGCACCTAACCGCACAGTAGTGTGGTGCCATGCGTATTTGTGGCTGTGAATGGGGCTGTTTTTAATAGACGTGTGTAGGTGCAACAACGTTTTCATCATGGTACCTGCGCACATCTACATAGGGCATTGCATTTCTTTGCTGTGCTGGAAAATGTGTGTTCTTGCATGCGTTTCTGCACCACCAATGGTGTGAACAAGTCCTAAGGGCTGGTTCACACTATAGAAACAGTCTAGATGTGTTCCTGATGGGTTTTTTTCATGCCCTTTTGGCATGCATGTTTAGTGTGTTCCAGTACATTTTGGATGCGTTTTGGACATGTTTACATTGCATTTTTGTATCCCTTCCACTTATTTTTTTTTATTTTCTTTGTATTCAATGTAGTTAGGGACATGTGCGTTTTAGTACATTCAAGGGACGTTTCAATGTGTTCCAGTACAGTTCTGTGCAGAAACAATGCAGCGTGGTCAACTTTGTTTACAGCACCTGCAATGCATTGAAAATGCAAGCGCTGATGTGAACTATGACATTGACAACCATATAACCTTCTTTCTGTGCGTTTGTGATGCTGAATAAGCAACTGAAACACATGTAGTGTGAACTGGCCCTAAAGGTTATTAGAGGTCAGGGAACAGGACTGACCAGGAATTGTGAATTCAATCAGACTAGTGGTGAGATACAATCAGTAATTGTATAATAATGTGAGATCTGAGCTGTAGCTGATAGAAAATGAGACACATTCACTTGATCAGTAAATAGATAGTTAAAGAGTGGGGGCGGTGATCCATAGATTTGCATATGGGACAGGTGATGATGGGGTGGGGGAGGGGGTCAAGTTGTATAAGGAGACAGATTTAAAAGAGAAAAAAGTTACAATGAAATATACACGGCATGAAACTTGCACATGACCTAATTGGCAGAAGAACAGTACGCAAGTAAACATTCATCCACTTTCTAGTCATTAGGCAAAATCATAATGATTGATCAATATTCCTGCCACAACCCAGAAAATTGATCTCCATTTTTTTGGGATGTTGCCAAGACTGGGATTAGAACCCATGACCCAAGTGCTGTAAGTTCTGAGCTCTAACCACTAAACCACTGTGGGAGACGCAGTTTGAGTTATAATGTAGAATAGTTACATTGTTTAAAAATGATTAAAGCGAGCGCTGGTCAAATTATATAGACTAGTAAAATGGTATTACACAAGATAAATATAACCACGAACAGTAGTGCATGAACTCGTGAAAGGTCATCCACCCCTGTGACAGTGTACTACACTATTGAGCACCTTTCTGGCTCCTGTGGCTGAGCTAATTCCTCCCCAGGACCATTTGGGCACCCACCCTGATGGATGGATGGATGGATGGAGCTGGATGACTAACCCATAGCTGCCAGCATACCGCTGCACCCCCAGATGTGCGATGTGTATAACCCATGCACATTAATACTTTTGTTCTGGTGAGTGTAGACCAGTCCCAAGGGTGGTTTAACTTTCACGAGTTCATGCACTACTGTCCGTCACGGAGAGACCACACGTGCCATTCATAGCACTCTCTGAGTTGGTACTCTCACACGAAGGACATTCCATTATTCAGGAATGATTATATATGAACTTATTTTAGCACGATTTACCAGTTTACATCATTATTGCAATTCTTTGCACTTTTTGGTTTTTACATGCGTTCATTATTGATCACATGCATTTTATAGCGCTGCACTTGTCTTTAACATAGAATAGTTTATGTGATTAAGAGAATGAAAGATATATAACTATATTGGGAAATTAGAAGTATATAAATTATTTGAGATATAAGTGTGAAAATGTTTAACTTTTGAAAATAAAATGTATGACATTCATTAGTAAATGCAATACTTTCCTGATCATTTTGGAGAAACAGCACAAAAAAAAAAAAATAGCAAAAGAGATATTTTTCAGAATGTAATAGTACAGCTGTATTAGAATATTTTCTATCAGGAAAAATCGCCAATGTTACTATAAAGCCGGCGCGCTTGTGCGCCATCTAGCGATATATATCCGGTATTGCACCTAAAAATGTGGCAGAGGGGATACACCACATTCACTAAGGCAAGTAGTCAGTGAGACGCTCGTTAATGAGCTTGCTAGACGCTGGTCAGACGATCTGATTGATTGACCGGAGTCTGCCTGAATGGTCAGTCTCTGCTAATACACTCACATCTTAGTGAATCAAGGCCATTGTGTCCTGTTGAAAGATCCTTTAAATGTATATGAGAAAATCTCTTAAGGATATTATTACCAAAGTGTATCAAGATAAAATAATCAATAAAAAAGAGGAGAGAATTTTTTTAGGTCCCTCTGCTCCTAGGCTTCCAGTTATGTATATCCTTCCGAAGGTGCATAAGGACCCATTAAATCCTCCTGGCTGACCCATCATAAGTGGGATCGGATTCCTCTGTGCTCTAGAGCTGGACAAATACATTGACTACTTTCTGCAACCTTTGGTACGAACCAACCCCTTCCTATCTTAGGGACACGAAGCAGGTCCTACAGGACAATTAGGAGCCTCCCTTTGGATGGAGATACATTTTTAGTAAACTGCAGACGTTACACTTCATTATATACCAGTTATTAAATCACTCTCATGGCATGCAAGCGGTTGAATTTTATCTGAAAGAATCTGGGATGTCTGTTTTACACCAAACTTTTATTCTCACCAATTTTAGACTTCGCTATGACCAGAAATATTTTTGTTTGATGTCTATGTATTTTTTATCTACAGACAAGGGGATGTGGCGTATGGGAGATCGAAATTCGCTCCCAGCCTGGGCCAACCTAATTCATTCGGTCAGGTGAGAGGAAGATGTCATTTATGCCAGGGATTGGCCAGAGCTTGTTTTTTTTTATAAACGATATAGATGACATTTTGCTCTTGTGGAGATGGAGTAGGAACCAAGCACTATGTGAACTTCTTTTGGGACTCTTCAATAATAACATGCTAATATATTAGACGTTACCTATGATTATAGTGTAAGACCAGCATTACTTTTTAGATCTAACATTGATTAAACTCTAATGGAGCTGTTGCGACCTCTTCCTTTTGTTAAGGAGGTACGGATCGCAACAGCTACATTTCCCACTAGTAGTTGCCGCACCATCCCATTGGGCCTTATCCAATGTACCTAAGGGTCAGTTTCTCAGGGGAATCAGAAGAAAACTGTACCTCAGTGGACACTTTACCATGTACAGGCCTCCTGTTCGTTGCGTTATTTCTAGCATAGATTTATCGAAAAGGGATATTGAACAATCTCATCTCATCACCATTATGCAAGAAGTGGCAAACCATGGACAGAGAATCACTATTAAACTGATAACCTTACTTGTAAGCCTCCTAAGATTTGTCCTTTTGTGATCTACATTTTTGTCTGCTCGATTTAAATACGCTTTGATATCACGTGAATAATATTTAACCAGAATTGGTATATTCTGGAGAAACGGTTCCGGTTATAAACGAGGATGCTTGGCCTGGAGATATGCCGGAGATTTATGTTCAGGGAGGGCAGAACCTTGAGAAACACGATCAGCCCCTAATATCATTAACCCCTAAACGTTCGTCTCACATGATGGGCGCGACGGGCCAATTTAAACAACGTGTTTTAGAACAACATGGTTGGATTTTTCCAGTGTAATAATTGCATTATTTGTACATTGTAATGGACACAGGGGAAAAGGAGGATTGATGACTTTTACATCCAGGCCAGTACTGGGAGGTCATTATAAAATTTAATAACATTCAATATCATGCAATAGCAGATATGTCGTTCTAATCCTGTTTGCAATTTCTTGTATAAAAAACAATAAGCGTCGGACGTACCACCAGGAGACTCAGAGACCGACTGCGGGGAACATAGGGAACAGTCAATAATGTGAGAAAGGGTTACAAAGAGCATCTGCGTTGTCAATGCATTATAGGACACATCATAACAGAGACCCACTCTTCCTTGATATTTGCAGGTAATCGATGTAGTACAAAACATTGGAGGGGTCAACGAATAAAAAGAGAACACAGTTTCCCAGATGGAAACTAATGGATTTATCAAATTGTTTGTATGATGTCCAAAAGGACGATAAACATAGAATATGGACATTAACTAGTTTTCATTGACACAACGAG